AGACAAGCTTATATTACTATCTTTGTTCCATTTATTATTTATAGGCTCAATTGTTAATTTTAATTACTAAATCTATTAATAGTTTAAAATTAGTTAATTGCTTAATATAAGCGAGCTCGTTTTTAACTAATTCCTTAAAGCTATAGTAAAACTTCGCAGCTAACGTAGAATTGTCTTACTTAAGTTATAAAGAGAGTTACTAGAACTCAGATAAGTACTTAGTCACTGAGGATGTCTATTAGAGTTTCTAGATATCTCTTTTAGCTATTTGTTCTTTATTAATAGAACTATATATAGCTCTGATCCTTATTTTAAACTTAGCGTAACTATTAAAGATATTATTGATTTCCTATTTACAGTTTTTTAAAGCGTTTTTTATAAAGTCCGTTATATACAGTTTGAACTAATTGAAGGCTGTATCACATAGGTATGTAATAGCGTAAAGGACTTTCTTTCCTTCTTTATTAAGTTCAGTTAGGTTAAACAGAATGTTAAGTTCAAATTGAATTAAGAATAATTGTAGTTTTCTTTAATTACTATTAAAGGTATTAGATAGGCTAACCTTAAGCCAGAATAGTGCTAGAGTAGGAGCTAGGGCTAGGGCTGGCTGAGCCAGAGCTGCAGCTGCTAGGGCCTAGTTGTTGTTTCTTTCTACTTAGGACATAGTAGGCTCTAAGGATAGTCTAATAGTTAACAGGGCTGGACTAGAGACTAGTAATTCCAGAATGTTGGAATTGTTACTGCTTATATACAAATCAGTACTTTTTATAGGTAGTCAAAGTGTTACATCTCAAAGTAGGAACAGGAGTTGTAGAGTTAGTTAGCAAAGCAGAAGCTTATCACAAAAGGAGCAGGTTAGGTAGGTATAAGATTGCTAACATAAGTTAACTACAAACTAACTAACTACTAGAAGACATAGGAGACTATATACTATAAGAGTTTATAAGTGATTATTTAGATCACTTGTAAATAGGTGATTAATTACTAGAATCATTTATAAGCAAATAAGTATAGTAATGTAAACATATCCATATTTGCATTAATTAGTTGTTTTAATATATAAATAAACATTCAGTAGTTTGCTTCTAGAATCACTTGCTAAGTAAGTGATTCAGGGTCCTGATCCTTTAGGTCTTAACATATAGTAGCATAAAATGTTAGATTGTTATGCTAATCTTTTATTTTAATATACTCTCTATATGCCTTATCTAAATTATATTAATTAGGTTCGCTATTAATTATAGTCACTTTCTATAATAGGGCTACCTATACTAGAATGATTTCCATTCCTATCCCTATCTTTCCTAACTATATTTCTATATTATAAAGAAGGGAAGTGAACAACTTTGCTTTAAGTTTCTTAGCTAGTTTTCTAAGCTGTCTTTTTAATAAGTTAGTTTTTAATAATATATAGAATCCTATTTAGAATTTGCTAATTTTCAGTTTTAACTAGATATATAGAAGGTGGAGCAAGGCTTTAACGCTAGATGCTTTAATTAAATTTATATAGAAACATTTAATAATTATTTAGGCCCTTATTCTTTATATAGGATTAAGAATCTTTACTATACTATTATTAATCTTTCCTTTTAAGAACTTAGAATACTATATTATAGCTATATAGTCTATTTTAGAAGCTATTATAGCTTAATATAGCTATTTTATTAGTTATAGGCTAATATAGAAAAGGCATTTAAGTTAGCTAGTATTTTTCTACCCCTTATTTTGACTTTAGCTAGGTGATTCTTAAACCTCAGCTTAGTATTGAAAATAACTTTTAGAATTCTTTCTTTTATAAAAGGTTTAATAACGTAATTGCCTATCTTTAATAAAAAGTCAGAATTGTTAATCTTTTTATAATTTTATATAAAGTATATAAGGATTGTTTTATTGCTTTTAAATATAATACTATTATTTTTTACTTATTAGAGAGCCTTTAAAACAACTTTATTATTAAATATTAATATATTTCTTTTTATTAATTTTAAAATAGTTTATTAAGTATAGTTATTTATAAACTCTATATTGCCTTATTTCCTATTAATCTTTTCCTTTATTAGAAACACGTTAAAGAAAATATATAAAATTAAAGCAAGCATTGATTTTTATAAAAAGCTAGATTTTATAAATGTGACTTTGCTTAATTTTATATTATTTATTAATATTATTATTAATTAATTTATATAAAAAAAATTAACTTATACTATTATATAAATTAGAATCCCTTTTATATATAGCTAACTTATAAGCATTTATTAAAGAATACTATTATATACTCCTTTTATATTAAAATTAATAAAGGAAAGAATTTTTTTTTACTATTATGCTTTAAAGATTTTCTTAATTATAAAGCTATAATTATAAATATATTAGCTTATAATGTTTTAAATCTTTATAATTACTTAATTAAGCTTAATAATATTATTAATATTAATAATTAATAGTCTTTATTCTTTAAGCGCTTTAATAACTATATCTTAATTTGTTTTTTTAAAATTGTATTTAGCTCTTTATAAAATAGTTATTTTAGCTTTATTAATTTAAAATGTTATAGCTTTATAGTCTGACTTATATTAGATTAAATAAATGCTATACTTTATAATTTAATTTTTTATTAAATTAGATATTAATATAAGGTTAATAGTAGTTTTAAATTATTTTTATAAAAATATGATTATACTATTTAATAAAGCTAAAAAAATATTATATTATTATATTTATTAGAGTATTAGTTTACTTTCTTTTTTATATTATAATTATAATATATTGATTCCTTTTTATATTAAATTATAGTAATTAAAGTCCTTTTTAATTATAATATAGAGGTTCTCTTTATATTTAGCTTTTACTTTCTAAATTGCTTTGCTTAAAGCGTTAAGCCTAATAGTGGCTATTTCTTCTAAGTTCTATTTAGAAAGCATATATTAGCTACAGCTTAAAATATAAATTAATATTATGAAAATATATTTTGTTAATATAGTAATAACTCTTATTATTATATTAAATAATATTATAGAAATTTAGACAAATAAAATATCTTTATAAATATAAAATACTAATTAAAATACGTAATACGTTAATTCTTTTTAATATATAGATAATATTATAATAGCTTAGCATTAATATTATAAAATATATAGTTTGCTTTTAATGCTAGTAATACTTAATTTTATAATTATAATTACTATAAACTAGCTAATAGACTAGTTATTAATAAAGGTAAGCTAAACTAAGGATTATCTATTCATATTTATTAAAAAAAAATAGGTATTCCTTATTATATATTGCTTATAATAACTTCCTATTTAGTATATTAGTTTATAACTATTTACTAGTCCTTTTCCTTTATTTTAATAAGCTAATTAGAGAGTTTATTTCTATTTTAGATTTTATTAATCTTATTTTAGTATATTATGTATTTAAAGTCTATTATAGTGTGTAGTCCCTTATATGCTATATATTTTAATATTATAGCTATATAGTTATTAATCCTATATATTTTCTATATTTTAGAAATTGGCTATATCTAGCCTAGTAGTAGCTATATTTATTATAGTTATAGTATCTCTAGAGGCATTAGATTTCATAGTATTGGCTAGCTATAGCTATATTGCTATTAACTTAGATTATATATTTTTTAAGCGCTCTCTAAGCGTCCTCTACTATATTAAAGTATATTATTATAAATTCTATAGGTTTCTCCTTTTTAGAAAGCTAGAATGCTTTAATAGCTTTAATAAACCTATTTTCTATATTAAATTCAGTTGCTAATTCTAGTTTAATTTTATAAATATTTAATACTAAGACTACTGTTTTGTATATATTGTCAATTTTAATTAGGAAAAGTTTCTCTTTATAAATGTAAGCTATTTTAAATATTTAATAAACCTATATTTTATTTATTTATAATTATGCTATATCTTTCTTATTCTAAATAATAACCTTTATATCCCTTATTTTAAATTAGATTTCTTTAATAATAATATTATTTATAGACTATTAGGCTTATAATAGCTTTTTAGATTTTATTTCTAATTGCTTTATAATTATTTATTATTTTATACTATTTAGCTATTATTTAGCTTAAGTTTATTATAATGCTTAAAAATTAGTATAGTTTTTTAAAAAAGGTGAATAATATTATTATTATAATATTGCTATGCTAAAGCTATATAGCTAATAATAATAGGTTAATTAAGCCTAATATTACTAAAATATAGGAGATTAATAAGAAGGCTGCTATATTAAAATCAGCTAGGGATATCAAGCTTGCCTATTTAAAGATTAAAAGGACTATTTTCCTTTTATTAATATTAAACCTAATAAATTAAACCTCAGTATCTAAAGCTTTAATATTAGTATTAATATTTTTAATATTTATACTTATGCTATTAAGCTTCTTTTTAAGCTTTTTATTTTTTTTTATAATAATATTAAATATTGCTATTAGAGCAATATTCTTTTAATAAAGAGTCTTATTCTAAGTTTTAAAGCCTTTAATCTGCTTTTAAAGTTATTTAAATAGCTTATTAAGTTTATTATTCTAAACATTGAGTTTATTATTCTAAGCGTTTACTATTTCTTTAACAAGACGTTTTATTATATCTTTTATAAAGATAGTATTATTATTTAGATTAAGGGAACGGATAGGCTGAATCAGCCCTTTGCTCTATCTAGTATTTCTAGCTCTTTTCTGTATTGCTGTGGCAGTGTTCTGTCCCTTTAGGGACAACGTTGGTATGACTATAGCAACAGCGTTGCTAGGACAGTCAGGCGGCACCCTTTCCCTCAATTAAAATCGATAGGAGTTGGATAGTCCGACTCGTCGAGTTGGCTTGTAGATGAAACTGTCAATAAAATGATGAATATCGATAAAAAAAATATCGATGTCGTACTCCTGTTCCGCTGACATCGGACGGGACGAACCAGCGACCCGCGCTATAGCTGTCTTGAAGACTCATCACTACTTAATCATAATATGCTCGAAGCTGTACCATCAGGCCCGGTTGGCAAAGTGGTAATGCGTCTCACTCGTATCACACATGCAATGAGAAGATCCGTGGTTCAATTCCGCGACTGGGCTTTGACAATTCTTTTTTGCTCTGTTTGCAGCCCACCAAAAGTCTACCGTCCTAATGTCATTTGGACTACCGAAGGTCCTTTGGAAAATTCGGTGGCCTGTATCCATGACTGCTAGCGGACAATGAACGCTTATTGACAGAATTGTCAGTTAGTCGAGCGACAGCTTATGTTGTGATCAGTAACAAGTTTGTCGCAGACGGCTGAAAATGGCTGAGATACTTCAGCTGTGTAGCAAACGCACGACCCACAATCTGCGAGCCGCGAAGCCAGCCGCGAAGCGCAGATCCCCTAGCTCGATTTGACAAGATTTGTTCTCTATGTGTACAATAAAAGTACTAATTAGCGATGCTTTGACACCTGCGAAGCGACATTCAACGAATGATGATATTTTAAGTACTTTCAGCACAGAACAAGCAAGGTTCTGGAAAGTAGCGTAGGCGCCGAATAGTGTACCCATGCACTGTCTGTCCTTTTCTACATGTGATAATCAATCTATCATCTCCTAGGATATAAGTACTTCGTGATTATACTAGATCAAACATATTGCATTGACTGCGTATGATGGAGTTTTCGCATTTTGTTTATTTGTCTATAGTGACACTTCTTTGCTGCGCTGTATTACAATACCTCAAGCCAAGGCATACTTCTCGAGAAGCCGCGTCTCGAGAACCACCTGCTCTACCCACAACTATCCCCGTCGTGGGCCACATATTCGGCTTGGTCCGCCATGGCTTACCGTATGTTGTGAGCAACGCGTAAGTATCATCTGCTTATATCGGGACATCCAGAGGTGCTGTCTAAACGTCATCATAGGAAATGGATGCAACAATTCCCCATCTTCACCGTGGAGCTCGGCCTGACCAGGATCTACGTCGTGAATTCCTCAAAAATTGTACGCGCTGTTCAGCGCAATGCCATCACGATATGGTCCGAGCCTGTTTTGACAGAGGCTGCCCGTCGGATGTCAGGGATAGATAGCGATGGTGTGAGATTGCTCCAAGCCACGGGGAGCAAAGATCACAGCGTCCAAAAAGATATTGTGCATGCAATGGGACCCGCATTACTTGGAGCCGCGCTCGACAAAATGAACTTGACGATGGCAAATAACCTCCCAAAGGTAGTGAATCAGCTTATGAGCCGCGATAATGACCACTTGGATCTCTATCTCTGGTGCAGAAAGGTGGTCACAGTGGCAAGTTCGAAGGCTGTCTGGGGTCCATTGAACCCGTTCGATGATCCATCTATTGAGTCGGCGTTTTGGTAAGTTTGACTCAGACCGACCAGCCCACTTCAAAGGTTCACAACCGTAGGGACTACGACTCAAATCTTGGCCTGCTTCTCATGAACACTCTCCCACAAATCACAGCTCGCAAAGCATATCATGGGAGGGAGAAACTTGTATCAAGTTTCATCAAGTACTACGAAGCGGGCGGCCAACACAATTCATCTGAATTGGCCTATGCACGTTGGAAAGCGCAATCCGACGCGGGATGCAGCACAGAAGCCATTGCCCGTCTTGAAGCCGCAACGGCCATAGCGGTGCTGTCGAACACCGCAACGACAGCCTTCTGGATGCTCTTCGACGTCTACTCTCGGAGAGAACTACTGAACCTGCTCTATGAAGAGATCAAGCAAAATGCTTTGTCAGTTGATGCCGAAGGTACCCACACCATTGATATAGCCCGCATCCGAGAGGGCTGTCCGGCGTTGGTGTCGACCTTCCAGGAAGTTCTGCGCTCACGCTCCATGGCTAGCCCATTGCGTATCGTCCGAGAGGATATAATTCTGAACGACGAGTATTTTCTAAAGGCAGGATCAATGCTAATAATGCCCTCCCGATCGATCAACAATGAAGCCAGTGTTTGGGGTGATTCTTCCGGAACATTCGACCCTATGCGGTTTCAAGATTCAATAGACAAGAAGCCACGTCCAAACAGCTTCATGGCTTTCGGAGCTGCACCTGCTCTTTGTCCTGGTCGTCATTTCGCTAGTGGTGAGATCTTGGCTATCGTGGCTATGCTTGTTCTGCGGTTCGATATCAAGACTCTGAGTGGGATTTGGGAGACACCGAAGAAGGTCAATACAAGCGCCGTTGCCACGACTATTCCACCTCCGGACGAAGCTTTCGATGTTGTGGTAACACCCCGAGTAGAATTTGTTGGCTTTGAGTGGGCGTTTAACGTCACGGAAGGAAAAGGCAGATTTGGCTTAATCACTGGCTAGAGAGTTATTGCGTTAGCTGAGATTGTTCGGCTAACAAATAACATGGGAAGCGTCTTCATTCTGTGCTACGTCTCGCGCCTCGTTTTTCGCGACAGTCTATCATTTCCAGAGGCACGACTGCGTCAGGCTAAAGTCAACATGATGCCTGTGCAAATCATTTGACAACACTGTTGTAGAGGACCTTTCGCAAAGAGAGAAGAATCCTTCAGTGGGTGAGACAAAGAAACATCAATTCGGAGCTAGGACAAGGCTCACTGTTCCTCAAATGGAAAGTCCTCTACACCATTGTAGCTGTTGGCTTTGTTCGCCGGGTGCGGACTGCAACCGCGACTTGCCAAAGAGACACCCTACACATAGAATACAGGACCGCCCTAACATCTCAACTAAAAATCAGGACTTCTTAACTATGGTCCCCAAGAAGCCTTTCACCCCAGGTGCAGATAGAAACAGGATCTGGCATGGTGGTGACCCTATACTCAAACGACTACGACTGAAGGACCTGCACCGAAATGGCTACATCGATCATCCTAGCGGAGCATTTCCACAGATTGAGACAGACAACTTTCAGGCCCGCATTACGTTCAGTCTGGCTGACCCAGTCACTGGGGCCGCAAATGACAAATACAATTTTATTCATCCCGTCTTCAAGCCTGAGAATTGGGTTCAACTTGCTCCAGAAGATTACGAGAGGATATCCCCAGCGCTGAGACTAGCTTCCTCTTTCCTGTGCGAACCGTCTGTCCTGGGCTTCTACCAAGCCATAATCCGTGCTCCTCAGCGGCTACATGACTCTGATGCGGAGGCGCTCCTGAAACGAAAAGTCTACTGCATTGGGACGTCTCCGATGCTTCGCCAGTCCCTCCCAGTGGTCGCACAGATCATGGTCCGTATGCAACACCATGTCAAGTGGCATTTTGGAAATGGAAACTTGACCGGCACAGCATGGATGGTCACAAACTACGATCTGAACAAAGACGGGCTGCATCCAAAGTAAGTTTTTTCCGAATGTAGTGGAGTCTTCCACGCTAAAGTCAGAAATTAGCCGCCGTTCGATGTCCTCTGATGTACATATACGTCCAGAGTTCCTGGAAGTCTTCAGACAGAAAATTCATGTCTCGCAATTTGCGAAAGCAGAGAACTTCGACAATGCTGCTGCATACTGTCGAACTGCTAACTTTTTTGCACATGGTCTACTTCATGAACTCTACCACGCCTTACATAGTGCAGCTGTCCCGACAATGGACCACCCGACAATCCCTGGAGCTAAAGCCATTGTTCCAGAACCGTTCTATCGAGATGATAGACTTGCCGAACTCGGATGGGCATTTCAACAAGTCGTTTTTGGGGGTGGTATAGCGCCTCTTGGCTGGAACCCAATCACTCCTGCAGCTCCTTATGGCATGTCGGCGCTACGTTGGCCCGGAGGCATAGGAGAGCCTACCATAGGGGAACCACGAGCCAGTCCAGCACGATGGAATGAGACTTATATCACTGAAGGGATCTTGGATGTAGAATGGCATCGGAAATTCTTCACTCGCAAATTCTGGGAGGTCGATGCGGCAAGGGATACAAGTGGACAGGTCCTCAAGATTGATTGGACGATAGCTATTCATTCCAATGAGTACGTCAGGACTGCGTTCTATCCTGGAGAACCGTTGGTCCCTTTGCCTCCGCGGCCTGGTCCTGGCGTTCCTGGTGGAGGAGAATTGAGAGCCCGAGGGTTCAAGATGAAACCCATGAAGGATGTGGATGAAACCTCAATTGATACGGATGAAGAACAGGGTTCCGGGGCGTGAGCGCTTAAAGCAGATGTTGACGATGATTGGTGGGGCGGTGCTCTCGAAAGATAGAGATGGAATAGCAATATACCGGACTCAAGATATCGACTTTCGAAGTCAAAGCTGATATCAGAAGCCACCTGGATGCAAGACTCATAGACGTCGATTTTCGATCTTTCATGACGTGCTTTGTAACTCTTTGTGAATTGGATGGAAGCTGTTATCTAAAGTCAAATTGAGCTTTGCTGCGAATGTCGGAGCCCTACCCTCACGAAATATGCCATGCTCTCGGTTCACTCCAAGGGCTTGGTCGCAACCATCAAGTACATGGGCGTGAACAAGCCCTCCTTTCCACCAGCAACAAGCGCATCGGCTCCAGCAGAAAGCTCCTTTGCCGTCTCTCTCGTACCGGGTGGTGCCATTCTCATACTCTCCAAGACACCCAGGAGTGTCTCAATGGCCAGACGTCCGGCCCGAGTCAATCTCAGACAGCTTACCAAGTCCCACGCGCTGTGCGCTTGATTCCATTCTCCAGTAAGTGGCGCATACCAAGGCTTGATGTCATTTCCTTTCCTGGCAGCCAGATCCTCATGATGCTCAATATGGAATGCAACAGCCCTCATGGCATCCTCAGCACTCTTCCTAGTCACCATATTTGCAATACCATTTCCTCGCTCGATACCCAGCCGTATAGCGCGATGGCGAGCATTGCTTTCATCTTAGGCATCAGTCATCACCCACTCATAGATGCCCACTCTACCTCCAGGCTTCAGCACTCGAAAAATCTGTCCATATACGCCCTCCAACGAAGGTGCATGCACTGTAGCTTCGATAGCATACACAGCATCAAAGCTGCCCTTCTCGAAATCGAGATTCATGAAATCCTTCTTCAGAAAGCTGACTTTATCCGACAATCCAGCCTTGGCGGCATGAGCAGTGGCTCTCGAGATCTGATACGCGTTGTTGTTTACACCAACCACGTTGCAATCTGCGAAGGTTG